TCTTGATACTCATCTTCAACCCTCATGCCTTGAGTTTGAAGAACAGATGGTACTGACGCTTGATAGACACCACATCTTCCTCGATCACAGCGAAATTGTTCGCACCTGGACGGGCCGATTCGATTACCTTGGTATCGTGATACCACTGTATGGTACGACAATTGCCAGTACACACTTCACTTTCAAATGCGATCCTGTACTACAGGAAGCCTACAGTATCTTTGCTACTGTCGTGGGCCTTGCTTGCGCACTCACTACTCTGCACCCCACCTTTTCTGGTCCTCAGTCTCGTCATCTCCGTACGGCGCTTTATCTCCTGTTGGGAGCGTCTTCTTTCCTTCCAATAGCGCATGGTACCCACGTCTATGGCGTGGAAGAGATGGATAGTAGGATGAGCTTGGGCTACTATCTTGGACTAGGCGTTTGTCATGGCACCGGAGCTTTGTTGTACGCTGCGAGAGTGCCTGAGAGATGGTACCCTCGGCGTTGCGACGTAATCGGGAGTAGCCATCAGCTTATGCATGTGCTGGTGGTGTGCGGCGCTGCAATGTACGGGGTGGGTGTGCAGACGGCGAGGAAGTATTGGGAATGCAGCGCGCAGGAGTGTTTAACAACGTAGACATCCTCGGGTCCTGCTTCACATCAGCAGCTAACCCTTCGAAATCCTCAGTATGACCCGAAACTTTTGACCAAGGTGTTCGGAAAGTATTCAGTCAAAGTCGTGTGATGACAGATCGAGGAACGAGGTGGCTGGGTACCACTTTCTCAGGACGAGCGTAGGATCTCCGCGGATGAGGCTCAAAAGGCTGCAGCTGAGCCCACTGTGGAGCCTACCCACACTACACTACCATCTTTTTCGATATTCCCGGAGTTGCTTCGTCTTCTTGCACAGCATCTCAGTACCCAACATGCCTTCTCCGGCCCGTTTCCTCCGATATCGCTGCAGTGACTGTAGCAGCCACCGTACGTCAGGATCTAGGCCTAGAACTCCCGCTTGCGAAAACCTCTCGGAGTTTGGGATAAGTCGTCACATCCATCCAGCGTTGGCCTCCAAGTATCGACGAGCCTTGGCGTTGTGAGAGTCAAATACCGAGTTACCAAGGAGCGGATGACGTTGCACTGAACTCTAGGCGTTTGAGGATCATATACCCTCCCAAATCATCGATGTGCTCCAAGAGTCCCTGTGCGTACTCCGTGTTGCCGGGGCGGAAGCTGCAGTCATGCAAGATAAGGCACTGAATCTTCGCTTGATTGGTGCAAGCATGTTTCACAGGCCATCAATATCCTGACAGGAGCTGATCGACAAACAATTAACGATCTCAAATCCAAGCTGGGATTGTAAGAATTGTGCAACGGCGCGAATCCACCCACATGCCTGGTATAGTTGCCGTTGCACCAAGCTCTGAGCTTATCGGGCCACGTCTCCACACGCACGCGGCAGACACACAACTCCCGTCACATCAAGTTTGTACCATCACCAGAAGTCAAAAGCAAAGCTACTTTTCAGAAGCAAGAGTAAGTCTTGATTTTGAGTTGTCATTGTTGTTTGCTGCGTTACTTCCAGTCGTTTTTGTCAACGCCACTTCTTCGACACGAACAGTATGCTCGTACTAGGAACAGGAAGCTGTTGAGGCTGAAGAGGTATTAGCGACACAGGCATTTTGTCAAATGCTGACCGCGGAAAAGCAGCAACTCATATTATCTCCAGACGTTCTGATAAGGATCCTTGCTGGCATCGACTACAGTGAGTCTAGTCTCTCGCCTGGCTAGCGCCAAGAGATAAGAGAACGCCCCTGCCGTCCCCCACCATCCCGCGTCAAACCTCATCCCCAGCGAACCACGACTCATCGCATCGACATTCAGCCTTTCATGCTACATTTTAGCCAGTCGAGAAAGAGTCTCAATTCGCTACAGCAGCATGTGGATCTCAAGTTGACGCCCTAGCGCTCATCGCACACATCGCCTGCACCCGAGAGCGCGGCAAAGCATACTTTCTCCGAAGCATTGGGCTTGCAGCTGCTGGGCATCGCCAACGAAGATAACGAATCCGCCAATATTACTGAATACAGACACGGAGAAGTCTGATCTCACTTGGCCTGGGGAACGAGTTGCGCCACAACCTTAGCCGTGCGTCACTGTGCTTCACCGCGGAAGTATCATTTTTGGAGGTTTGTGCATCAATCTATATAACCTCCAGCTTCCGTTTGGGGCCACGGCTTCAGCAAGCGCCCGCTCCCAGCTTCCATATTGCGTCTGTAAAGAATCGCCAGCTTTACACCCTCCCGACCTACCTTTCAGAAGTATCAGTATCGTAGTAGGGCTCGACCTCCCAGGTGGTACTCATCATGCCGTTCGCTATCAACATGCTCTGGTCGGCACCAGAGATCAACCCATACAACAAGAAGGCCACATCTATTCCCGTCTTGAATCCGATCAACAAATATGGTCGTGTGTTCTTCTTCTCTTACCTAGGCTTCTTCATTGCTTTCTGGTCATGGTAAGTCGTTCCCCACATGTGGGTCTTCTCCGTTGCTGAGTGCTAATACTTTTCAGGTACGCGTTTCCACCTCTGGTATGGTCACCCGCAACCCACGAGACTGTCAGAATTGTACAGACTAACATCCCCACAGCTGAGTAAGAGTATCAAGGAGGACATGCATTTGTCACAGGATCAGATTGCCAACTCCAACATCGTCGCGCTATGTGCAACACTTTTGGTCCGCTTCATTGCGGGACCCATGTGCGACCACTTCGGCCCGCGCATTACATTTGCCAGTCTGTTATTCGCCGGTGCTATCCCGACCGCTCTCGCTGGCACTGCACACAACGCTACGGGTTTATACTTCATCCGTTTCTTTGTTGGTATTCTCGGTGGTACCTTCGTACCATGCCAGGTCTGGACAACTGGATTCTACGACAGAAATGTTGTCGGAACTGCCAACGCTTTGGTCGGAGGCTGGGGTAACTCTGGCGGCGGTATCACATAGTAAGCGGGACGTCCCCTATGAAGCAGCTTCCGCTGACATTTCTTCAGCTTCGTCATGCCCGCTATCTACGACTCTTTGAAGAGGGACCAGGGTCTCTCCTCGCACGTCGCATGGAGAGTCTCCTTCATCGTTCCATTCATCATGATCAGTGCATGCGCTACCGGTCTCCTGCTGTTGACCGACGATACGCCCACCGGAAAGTGGTCTGAGCGTGGGGCAACCGTGGTGTCTAGCAGCGATCAAACCAACCAAGCTTCCGTGGTCCCCACGACCGGTGCCCTCGATGACAAGCCTGCGACCACTGGATCGATTTCCTCCAACGACGAAAAGAAGCGAGAGCAACCGGCCGCTGACGTAGAGGCTGGACGTGGTGATGTTCAAGTCATGGACGAATTCCAGCACGAAGTCGTAGTCAAGCCTACTTTGAAAGAGGGACTGAAGGTCATGTTCTCTCTCCAGACACTGATGCTCTGCGCGGGCTACTTCTGCTCCTTCGGCGGTGAACTCGCCATCAACTCTATCCTTGGTGCTTATTACCTCAAGAACTTCCAGTCCCTTGGTCAAACACAATCTGGACGCTGGGCAGCTATGTTCGGTCTCTTGAACGTTGTTACCAGACCGCTCGGTGGCTTTATTGCGGATCTTATCTACAAGGTTACCGGTCGCAACCTCTGGGCAAAGAAGTTCTGGATCCACTTCGTCGGCGTTATGTCTGGTATAATGTGCATCGTCATTGGAAAGGTCGACCCCCACAACCTCAGCGAGATGATTGGCCTCATTGCGGTCATGGCCATATTCCTTGAGGCGGGTAATGGTGCGAACTTCGCGCTCGTACCTCACATCCACCCTCACGCTAATGGTAAGTCCGACTGCTTCACTCATTGAGAGAAGACCTACTGACATTTCCAAAGGCATCCTCTCCGGTATCGTTGGCGCGACTGGTAACTTTGGTGGTATCATCTTCGCCATCATCTTCCGCTACCACAAGACGGACTATGCGCAGGTTTTCTGGATCATTGGCATCATGATCATTGCGCTCAACTGCATGTTCATGTGGGTAAAGCCTCTTCCCAAGGGCCAAATCGGCGGTCGTTAGAATTGTACTATGGCTTTTTGTTTGCTGTTTTAGCGTCGCTTCGTACATATGATACCTTTGTTAATCGTAACTTGCATTCCTTGAGCAGTGGATGGTCGACTGTGACTTGATCAACGTTACCAAAATGCAGCATGACGGCGTGACTGCAGTGACAAGTATTAGCTCCGCCTGTTTGATCGCAAACATGGGGAGTATTCTTGCTGGCGATGTCAGCTTGGCTAGCGTGGCTATAATGAAATGGCGCGCAGCCCTCCTGCCACTGATACAAAAGCCATGGCTGTTGTACGCGGTTCGATGACCTTTTTGCTGCGAGTCCTGATACTACATGAATACGCTTAGGCACGTACGTCTCAGCAATGAATATTATTGCAGCCTACAATGGTATGGAAGACAGCAATCTGCATGAAATAAAAGCTTTGTAGACTTCTCGACCCTCAATCACATATGCGATCTGCTTCTTACGCGTTATTGTATTCGACGGGGTAAGAAAGAGCTTAGGGTTATGAGCGATTTCGAGGCAGGGGCGCAAAGCCGCGGCTTGAAGCTTGAGGCTGTGCCACATACACTAAACTCAATTCGCGTTGGACCCGACACACGCCACCTAGTCAATACGAAGCCTTGGAATTGCACTTTCGCGTTCCGTCATCTGAACTCAGGCTTACTTTTGCACACCGCGTCCCCTCGTGCGTGCTGTTATAACCACGACATGTCTCCAGGATCGCACAATGACCTTCATGGTACCGGTCCCAGTACCGCATTTAGCGTCGATACTAGAGTCTCATAGGCTCTTCCCTCTATTCTGGCTAGCTACCGGCGCACGGTCTTGAGGCCGCACCTTCGCACTCCTGCTGTGCTTGACCAGTGTCTATTGCCCACCGAAGGTGCAATACCAGGGCCGTGGGCCGCAGTATATAAGGATGACGAAAGACTGGGAGTTGGTGCAGGATGAGATCAAGGAGCTTTCTTTCGTCCAAAAGAAGCCTCTGGAAGAGGTCAAGGAGCTAATGGAACGCAAACACAAATTTCGGGCTTCGTGAGTATTTGCAAGGATGTTGTCGTTTGATAACTGACGAGGGATACAGGACACGAGCATATCGGATGAGGTTGAAAGAGTGGGGTATCATGAGGCACAAACCGCGAAGAGCCACGAAGTCGCGTCACAAAGCGAGGCTATCCAGCGAGCAGAGTTCCGATGGCAACGCTGGGAACGACAACGAGTCAAGCGATTCCGCTGAACCCATTTCAATCGACTCGACTTCCAGAGAGCATTGTACAAAGACGGGTGGTTGGCAGGTTGTAGCTAGTTTACCCACTCTTATCGCCGATGAAGCCGGGACGGTCGCAGAGCCAACTTTTCTGGGTCTATTGAATCAGCCACAAGAGTATGTAGGTCTCTGATCATCCGATATTTGTGCGCTCAGTGTGTATTGACCATATCGTAGTCTCCGGCCATCCTTCGAAGAGACATCGTCGCAAGATTCCAGGCAGGCCTTCGACATAGTACTAGACATGGTCGGTGCAGTCCTAGACGGCGATTTGCAGAAGTTGGAAAAGCTTATTGTCGACAATGTCGATCACATCAACCATCCCATTGGTCTGCCTTTCGATGAAGCAGGCGCACGATTCGTTGGCCACCCTGCTCTGAGCGAGATGGTTATCTTGCAGCATCCAAATCAGACCGTATTCGATATTGCGTGCGGTATGCCTTGCGGACCGATCATCTGGGTCTTACTTGCTTACGGCGCAAAAGGTTCCAAACATCCACTTGGAACAGACTTGGCCTTACATAATGCCATCAAAAACGGGCGCACTTACACTGTTCAAGCACTGCTCCAACCTGGTCGTTCAGAGGTCAATGGACTTCCAGGTTCAAGCTGGACTCCTCTACGTCAAGCAGTCTTCTGGAATGTCCCTGACATCGTGCGCATCCTTCTCAACCGAGGTGCCAGCGTCGAAGATGCTGATCCATCGCCTGAGAAGCCTGGTGTTCACACAGCATTGCAACTATGCCTATTACATCGAATGAAGATCTACACAGACCCTGCGGCACGCAAGAACTGCCACACGCTTTTGGAACTGCTTCTTAATGCTGGGGCAAATGTTCACCGCAAGCCTCCAGAGCTTGTTGCCCAGTCAAACTTTGGCATGTTCATCATGGCATTGCAGAATCGCCCTTATTGGGCTGCCGAGCTTTCTTCAGACGAGCTTGAATGTCTCCGGCTGTTTGTTTGCAAGGGTGCTAGCTTCCCTCCGTTTTTGGGAGGTTATCCTTGCAAGTCTCTGTGTCGGGACAAGTTTGAGCACCAAGCGCTGTGGCATTCGACTCCAACTTTTGCGCGGTGGCTCATTGACACCTTTGTACCTACGCCGACGAACGACGGTACCTCGCTCCTATCTGAGGTTCTCGGCTGCTGTCCAGACGCAAAACGACATCCCGCCGACACGCTACGCGATGTTGAAGTGCTTCTTGGGAAGGGCGTCGATCCGAACAGCACAGCTCATGACGCCCTAAGTCCTTTGGGGAAGTGCATTGCGGACTGCCCAGCTGTTGATATCGTCCCGCGTCTCCGAATGCTTGTCAATGGCGGCGCCGACCCAGAATGCGAAGATGCGGACGGTGTTCAGCCATACGTCCGAGCGGCGGAATTCTTTGAAGAGCCGCTTCGTACCGAGGTCATGTCAGTGTTGGTTGCTAAGATCCCAGGTAGATATGTAAGGCGCGTCAACGATGCCTCCCACACATGGGCTGCAGGCCTTTTCCCCATCTCCGAGACGCAGACTTATGATCAAGTCATGGCGTGCACGCGTCAAACGGGCGAGTTCATGCTCAACATGCGTAACATGGTACCAGAACATGTTCAGAGCATCTTTCAAAGAGCCTATTTCACCGTCATCAGCGAGTACTTCTTGAATACAATGACCAGAGTCGCAAAGACGAAGATGCTAAGCTCGCAAGAGAAGGATGAAATCGTCTGGATTGTTTCTATGCGAGATGGCGTCGATTTACCCAAGTACAGCTTCGACCAGAAACTCGTCATTGCGCTGCTGGACCCACAACCACTGCCAAGTATGATGCTTGCACGAGATGATGATGTTCTTCCAGAGGATCCGATGCAATGCGATACGGTCGATGTTGCTGCGGCTTCTCCAGCGTCTAGTGCCACAATCACGGGGACTGCGACCGTGACCGCGGCGACGGACCTTCAGCCCCATGCTCCATTCCAGTTCAACTCCAACCGCGGGGCAACTTTGAATAATGCTCCGTCATCACCTAGGTCTCCACAATGGCTCGATGACTTCTTCGTAGCATCTACGACCCAAATTCGATGGCGCGATCCCTGCGCACCACCCAAGCCAGGCGACGCCCAGAAAGCTGTGGCAGCAGTGCTGATACACAAATGCGCGACTTGCAACGACGACAGGCTGCTCACGAAAAGGGAACTGGAAAGACACGATGCTGAACATGTGCACACTGGAGATTGTGATGTCATCGGCTGTAAGAGGCGCTTCTGTGCTGAGAAACGAACTAAGGAACATTTTGGAGGATGTCAAGATCATCTATTCAGTCATTGAGGGCCAAATTTGCGAGTCTATCCCATTCAGCCTCACTAGATCCGTCGACATCGGTAAAAGAATTCTTATCTCCGTGTGTACTCGGCTCATATGCCTCTGGCTGCTCCTCTTGCTCCAGCATACGTTCATGCGCTAGTCGTCTTACCTCCATATCAGTCGCTCGATGCCGCCAATGCTCGAAGTACCCTCGCATCTCTAGAGGTTCTAGCTGCCCGAGCACATGACGGGACCGATAACCAGTGTCGATCATGTTCAGCCGACAGAAGTAACGCATATGATCTGGACCGGTGTGTCTTAGTGTTGCTGTTATTCCGACATCTTGGAGTGCCTGGACATGCGTAACGGTGTGATTCAATCGCGCACGGTTGGGTAACTTTGCGCGGTCATCTCCCATGCCCTCTCGCCCCACTTGATGATGGGTGTAGATGGTGAGGCTGCGCAATCTCGGCAATACTCCAGTGGCTTTCTGTGCGACGAGATGCGTCAGGAGACGGTCAAAGTCCCAGCATGTACCTCCGAGCGTAAGATGGGTCAACGTCTTCGGCAGTACGCCAAGTTCGTAGTCAGGCTCGGATCCCCATGCCGTCCATTTAGGCGTCATCAGTTCATCGACGCATGTGGTCACATGTGTGAGGTGAGCGTACTCGCTCAAATCGAAAGTCTGATGCCCGTTGACAGAGTCCCATAGCCCACCGAAAGGGATCTCTAGCTTGTTCAACCGGGTTTTGAGTCGCTTTCTGATAATTTCTTTCAGATAGGGCCGACAGCGGTGGGCGTCTGAAGAAGCTACATTTGCGGTGGAGGCCGAGGTTTTGAAGAACACTGGATCGAGGAAGCGGATATCACCATGTGACAACCCTCCTAGCAATAAGCGCTGTATGTTGGGGATCTGTAGTAGGAGAAGAGCCATGTCTGCCTGGACGTTCTTTCGACGCAAGTCATACTTTAGCATCCGCTGGAGGCGCCTTGTAATGCCGGACGACCTCATGATAGGCATGTAGATACCCCGTCCCTTCACTCGACGTTTGCGCTCGGAAGTGCGCTCATCGTGGGTTTCGGCGTCCCGGAAAAGGTCAATGCTCCTGACTAGTTGCGCGAGCTTGGGTCGGGCGGCATACAAAGAGACGAGTTTGTGTACTTTGGCCATGTCGACGCAGACATCTTTATGGAGAACGTCCACTACAATATCATCTATAGCGTGTCAGATAGCCAATAAGCGGGGTGTCATTCTAGCATCCACTTACAAAAGCGCTTACACACCATTGCCAGCGAGACAAGTCCTGCGCGTCGGTCCCGAGGTAGACGAGGCAGATGGTCCGTGATATCGAGCAACAACTCGTTAGGTAGTGCGAAGAGATATGCCGACATTGCGAAGTAAGAGGTGCACTATCGCGCGAGGTTGGTTACCTGTATAGCGAGGTATGGGTTGCTGGAAGGGTTGCTCCAGCGGTGCATGATGTGAGTCATGGGGTGTGACTGTACGGTCGTTTAAGAATGAAGAAACGACGCTTGCCGTTCACATGAGTCGTTGTGAGTGGTGAGGAGCTGACGTGACTGTGACTTCCTGAACTGTGAATGGGAAGGCTTGGCTCGCTTGATGTCAACCACGACTGCCACACAATGATCATTTATCAACAAAGGAGCAATCAACAAAGGAGCACAAAGGGTATGTAAGACGTCTACCAGTATCTTTTCATGCATCTAGAATAAACGGAGACAAGTCACGTACATCTCAACAGCTTCCGTGCTGCCAAATACGCTTCGTCAAAACGTCTATGCGCCCGGACCGTGACACTAAAAGTCAATTTATAGCAATCCTCGCATGAGAAGACTCTTTTCAAAATTATCACTGCTACTTAGCGATCTCTGTGCAATCGTCACAGCAAGCTTATCGCGCTCAGTGCGGCGAACAAGCGGATCGACAGGATGGCGATCAGTCAACCACATTCCAGGTTCACACTCGACAAACGCCGAAACATCACTGGGCTCACACCAAGGTAGACAAGAATGGCAATCTCATAAAAAATCCAATTATATCTCTAAAAATACACCGCCGACCACTACAACCAAACTGATCCCTTACAACCCACTAAGCCCAAGCGCCAACGCACCAAGCACACTGTTCAGCAACGCAATAACACCCACAAGCACAACGTTGAGCACCAACTGAACCGCAAGAATCAAGAGACTCAACGCGCTCGTCAACGGGTTGATAAACACCAAAAGCCCAGCGAGACCCAAAATCGCCACTGCAGCGGTAATCGTAGCAAAGATCTCCACAATGATGAGCGCAAGAAGGGCACCAGCGGCGATCAACTGACGCTTCTCCTTGGGCTGTGAGACGTCGACGAGATCGGTAGAGGTAGACCGCTTCTGGTTGTCTTCGGCTGGCACCATGGGTTGCGTAGCGTTCGCAGGAGCGAGATCGCGGATCTGCGTTGTCGAAGCCGTGATGGCGGCGGTGATCTTGTTGAGTTGCTCGCCTACTTTGGGGATTGCGGCCGTCTTCTCGAGGAGAGACGAGGATGCGGAGAGGGGCGCAAGGGTAGCATCTAGGATGTAGTTGTTAGTATAATGCGGGTGATGGGTGGTTTATTTTGGCTGGTGGCTCAAAAGGGGGAGGGGCCGTACTGATGGCTCCGGTGTAGACTTGCACCGTGGCGAAGAGGTCGGTGAGGAGGGATTCTACGCTGCTGCTTTCCTGGCGCTTTTGCTGGACGACGGGGCTCGCGAGCGATAGGCCGCTTAGGGCGAAGACGGCGAGGTGGGAGAAACGCATCTTGGTGTTGGTGGTTACGACGACTATGAAGATAGTGAGAGAGGTAAAGTATACACAGGAACGAAACTGAGCGAGTGAATCGTAGTAGAAACTGGTCAATTACAACGAGAACACGATACCTCTTATACGCCCCTGTGGTATTACCTGTAGTACCCTCCCCGAGTACAAACTGGTTTACAGCATGACAAGAAATCTCAACGCCTAGTTTCGCATGAGGAAATGCTCGTCATCGTCATTTCCTACATTGGTACAGGTTCCGGGTATGCGGTTCGGAGTGTTGTCTCGATGCGGCCAGGAGTGATCGTCATAGGCGGACCTGGATCTATTGATAATATACATCCTTGCTGTATATCGCTTCTACCCGCTTTTGTTCCTGCGCCGGTGAACCTCGATCTTTCCAGGAACGCCATGGGCTTTCTGAATAAGTATCCAAGGCTTCTGATGTTATGACTGGGAATTGGGCTTTTGGAGGATGTGACGCGATCGCCTTTCGTATAGCGCGTGATAGACTGCTGTGGACGCAGGTACGTGCCTCCGATTTTGCGTTTCACATCGACTATCAGCCGCCCCATTTATAGAGAAAACCGTTGCGTACCATCACGCTTGTAGCCGGTATGCCGCACGCCATCATGTGCTATAGCGCCGTATACACCGTTTATACCTACTCCGCGGACCTTGTACCATGTCCGCCACGTTCGCTAGGCCGTGAAGGAAAAGGAGAAACAGCGTCATGGCAGAACCAGAACGTCAATGTCAAGGCTGGCAAACTCACAAGCCTCAAACACCGGTGGTAGAAACCCCTGGAGTAAATTGCTCATTGGCTGCGCGCAACTCCATTAGTGCTTCCTGATATCCGGCATCCCTGTCTCCGCTCTTGCTCTACGCGAGGTGATGGATGGGTCTGTGCGGTTCATGCGATGATGGCGTGGCTGGTGTTGTTCGGAATGAGTAGCGCGCGGCGTGAGAGGCTCAATCTCAAGATACTGTATAGTATGGTGAATGATGCAAGATCTTCATTGATACGCCTACGGATGCGCCTACGAATGCTATGTTTGCAAAACGCCCTGAGGATAATTACCCTCACCCACCTTTGATATCCCGTCCCGTTCGTCATGTACAACCCTTCCATGCTATCCTCCTTTTGTTCATCAGTCATGTCCATCTAATCTAACGAGAGCCTTTTCGTCTCCCAAGCCCACGATCGCGACCTATACACTCAAACGAAAGATGCAATGATTTGCCATTCAGGGGAACACGAATCCTCCTGCGTATTGTAGGATTTTCGTCTGCTCAGTCTTCGCCGACGAGCCTGATCTCGGCAACTTCATCATCTTGCTGTGCGACGGGTGTGCCGACACCACCCCAGCCATTCTTGACACCGCCATCGTCATCAAAGTCTTGCATCCTTTCGCTCATCTCTCCATCACCTACGGAACCCATCGCTCCGGTATCAGACGCGGCACCGTCATCATCCGAGTCGTTACGGCGATCCATGTTTGCACTGCCAAGGCCGCTGAAGCTCCAAGCTGGTTGATCAGCGTCCATTTCCCAAGGAGTGGACGTGTAAGCACCGTCATCAGCGTAGCCCTCATCGTCGCCATAGGATGGTAGCTCATCATCGTCACTCTGGCTCCCGGCTGCGACTCCGTTCTTTGGACGGTTCGCGGCTGCTGAGTGCTGATAACCACCCCCGCGCAGGGCTACGGCTCCCGCTGCGACTGCGCCAGCGCTCGACGACCCATTGCGGGACGAATCGTCGAGGCGCAAGCCGTTTCCCGCCGGTGACCGAGAGCGAAGTTGTTGGTCGTCTGCATCTTCATCAGAGTCGGGATTGCTGTTGTCGCCGGTTACAATTTGCTGAAGAGAGGGAGGGCCTAAAGGGACGGGGGAACGCCGGCGGTAGAACAAAAGGTAGGCGTTTCTCGATACGGCCTTGCGGCCGGATTCACACCGAGACACTATGGAGTCTAGTGAAGTTAGCATCAATGTGACTGTGTGTAAAGGATATGCGGTCGGTAAAGCTTACCATTGTAGTCGTACCACTGCTTGTCGAAGAAGTTTTGAGCAGTGGCCGTGTAATGACCGCCTCCAAGCCCACCGTAGTGATTGTCGACTGCGAAGAGATCATAGGTGAGATCCTTGCCTTCAGGGAAACCGACTTTGCCGGACAGATCTAGTCCCTCTACAGGGAAGTCAACCAGATCTTCGATCTTGTCTCTCAGGTTTCTCGCCCCGCTAAAGCGCTTCAGATGGATTATCAAGATGTCAGGAACTGTCCAGATTTCGAGTGTCTTTGTCGCCCTACGCCTCTCCTTGCAACGGCTGCAATACCATGCGTTATCTTCGGAAAGAATCTCGCTCTTAGAAGATTCGACAAAACATTCATCAAGGTTGATGCCGTTTTTGCGACGAGCTGCGCGCCTCTCTTTCTTTTCGCGAAGCTCTGTGTCATCGAGAACCTCTATGTTCTTCATGACGTCCGCACCTCTGTCATCGTCCGTCGTAGAGGCGCCAAATAGAGCATCATAGGCCTCGGCATTCCAATCAAGGACAAGGGCCTCGCCCATTCGGAGCAATCTCTCATCCGACTCGTCGTCAGGTTCGTCAGGGTAGTTCGGCTGGTCTGGCACTTTGCCTGCTTTCTTACTCTTGAAGTTCTTGTTGTTTTTGTGCTTTCGCTCCATTTTGCGCTCATGCTTCCGCGCTTTCTTGCTCTTCTTCTTGTTCTGACGGCCCGAACGGGCAAACTCTTGTGCTGCCGGCTCGACCGATTGCATTTCCTCGTCGCTGCTGACGTTGGCGGCATCAATCGCTGCGTCGGCGTCGACAACCGTGGACTGTGACACGTCCTCGTCTTCGTCGCTAGACGTAGTTTCGCTTCCAGCAGCGGACGATTGTACAGACTCTTCTCGAGCTGGTGGTATCCTGACTCGTTTGGTGATAGGCTCAAGTGGCTTCGAATAATCGACGGTACTCCAACCTGTAGTAACAATCTCTGAGCTCTTTCGTGTGTGCTTCATCTCGAAAAGTGCCCTGTTCTAAGTCAGTATTTTGCTGCGCGAATCCAAGGTCGGTCCCGGAGCTGCGACCTTGCGTCACAAGCTTCGCCTGGAACTAGCTTGTACGTACCTGAACTCCGGATGAATGTAGCTACCCGGCCGAAGTACTTCCGGAACCTGGTTAGCCTCATCGACTTGAGCGAAACGCGTATCCTTTGCATCCGTCATCGTCACCTCCACAATGTCCTCGCCCTCAACAGAACCGTCATTGACTTGTGGATCGTTTGGCGACGCATCTTCTTCTGTTGTCAGTACAACATCAGACCCAGGGCGGGATTGTTCTGGTCCGCTGAGCTCACTAAGAATCTT